AATTTTGAGCATTACTTTACTAGCATGTGAGATGAGTGCAATTGTGCAGTAGTTTGAGCATTCTTTGGAATTGCTTTTCTTTGGGATTGGAATGAAAACTGACCTTTTCCAGTCCTGTGGCCACTGCTGAGTTTTCCAAATTTGCTGGCATATTGAGTGAAGCACTTGAACAACATCATCTTTCAGGATTTGAAATAGCTCAACTGGAATTCCATCACTTCCACTAGTTTTGTTCATAGTGATGCAAGTAAGGCCCACGTGACTTCACATTCCAGGATGTCTGGCTCTAGGTGAGTGGTCACACCATCATGATTTTCTGGGTCATGAAAATCTTTTTTGTACAGTTCTTCTTTGTATTCTTGCCAACTCTTCTTACCTGTGTATTATTTGCCACCCTACTATTTACCTGGGGCCAAACTCTGGTGGAGGTAATGAAGATAATGGTGACCTCCTTCAAAAGATCCCACGCATGTTCTGCTACACTCAGTGCCACCAACCCACACCTCCGCTGCAGACTTCTGGACACTCACAGGCAAGTCTGGGTCAGTCCCCCATGGTGTCACTGCTCCTTCCTCCTGGGTCCTGGTGCACAAAGTTCTGTTTGGGCCCTCCCAGAGTCTATCTCTCAGTCCTGTGTAAGTTCTGGCATCTCTTTGGGGGTGGTTAATGGCAACCTCCTCCAAGAGGGCTTATGCCACACCCAAGTCTGCTGCACCCAGAGCCCCCATCCCTGTGGCAGGGAATCAGCAAATAAAATGGACTGGAATGGGTGAATCTTACTTAGATGACCATTACTGTACTACTGTGGGCAAGAATCCCTGAGAAGAAATGGAGTAGCCACCATAGTCAACAAAAGAGTCTGAAATGCAGTACTTGGATGCAATCTCAAAAAGGACAGAATGTGTACGTGGCCCAAAGATTAATAGTAGAAAAGTTGCTCAGGGGCTAGCCAGGAGATCCAGGACCAGACAGTGGTTCGTGACGTTAGTGTTTCTCTAGGTATAAGAAGATGCAAGAATTTGGGCTCATAAAATCTTTACCTGAAAACATCTGACTATCTGAAGGCCAATTCTTCTGGGTTTTTCCCAGAGCAGAGTGCCTTATTTCTGATCTCCACTCTGAGCTCCTTTCAGGGGGTGTTGAAGGTCAGCAGGTTGCAGTGGTCATGATGTAATCTTTGTAGAGGCAGCTGGAAAGTGCCAACTTCCAGTCAGCAGGGTCTGTTCATAGCCACATGTTTGACCATGCTTTGGGGGCATTTCATGGCTGTTGTGTCCTGTGGTGCTAGGAGGGTTCATTCCTAGGTCTAACGAAGATTCCATTGACAGGCCATGCAGTGTGCTGTTACTAGGCCAGACTTTGCAAGTAGCAAAAGTCTCTGGACCGTACCTGTCTTACTAGCCTCTTGGTCCAAGAAAATATTCCCTCTTGTTGCTTCTTCCCATAGCTAGAGTTATATTGTTACAATCATTGATCTCATATGGAGTAAGGTAAGAAACAATCCTCTGAAACAAGTGACATAGAAAATAATATAGCTAGCAGTTATTAGTAAGGTCACAAGCAAGAATTTAAGTCAAGAACTTTCATTAGGTATAGCCCAGTATACCCGGGTCATCCAACTTAGTTAAATGATTATAGCCAGGTGTGAATCTCCAGGTTGTACATCATGGAGCCTCTGACCTTTATCCAAAGATTGGTTATTGAGATAAACTTTAGAAACAAACTTAGAGTGTCCTTTCTAATAACTTAATTAATTAAACCTTTTAGCAATATAACATAACAACAAGGAACTATCTCAGAAATGAGTCATAGTAAACACAGACCGTAATTAACAAAACTAGTACTTAATATCAAGTGATATATAATTTTTTTTTTGTCATTGTGAGGGCATTAACCCTGTAGCCAGGGAAAGTTTTAACCCATCAAATAAAAATGAGGTTTGTCAGGGAGCCAGGAAAATCCAAGTGGCCGTCTTGGAGTTCCCATAGCCCTGACTCTTTGATTTACAGCTATTGTTCACCCATTTTTTAGTTCCCCAATTTAGGAGTAGACTGTTGTCATGGTTTAAGGACATCAGAATAGCAAAAGTCTAACAGTGAGGGGTTATTTTTTGTAGAAGCAGAATAAGCTTTTACATGTACCATAATCTTAAATAATGCTTATTTACTTTACCAAAGTAAAAAAAAAAAAAAGACTAAAAAAACAAATAGAAATCACTTAAAGGCCAAGAAATCCATAATCTGTTATCGAAAGCTGCATTCTAAGAAAACTTTGTTCTCTTAACATGGAGAGTAGACTAAATTCCAGTCTGTTATCCGTTTATTGGATAACAAACAAACAAAATTTGTTTATCGGTTAATCTTAGAAACGTCTTTTCCATAAACCTTGAAGTCAGTGTTCTTGCCTGGAGAATCTCCAGGTCGGGAGAGTCTGGTGGGCTGCCACCTATGGGGTTGCGCAGAGTCGGACACGACTGAAACGGCTTCGCAGCAGCAGCAGCAGTATTCTTGAAAAGGCATCAAAGTGAAACCATGCAAGGCATGTTTTGTTTTTTTTTTTCAGGTTTTAAAACTTTTTATTTGCATATTAAAAAAATTGTGCCTTCTAATAATTAAAATCATTTGAACAACAACAACAAAAAATGGCACTCTGATTAAACTGCATTTTACAGCCCGCAGAATACCTTGGACCAGCTTTTTACTCTAGATTTCACTATCATCCCACCCAGCTTCCTCTTTCACCAACATGCAAGTTCTTTTCCTTCCCTGCCAGCCACACAGGCAGACGGGAGAGGCAGGCGCGGCCTACGTTGTCAGTAGTTCTCCATTCTTTGATGTGAAAAGGGGTAGACAGTCATTTAAACTCGATCCAACCTCTTTGCATCTTACAAAGTTAAACAGCTAAAAGAAGTAAAATAAGAAGGCAATGCTTGTGGAATGTACAGTGCATACTGGCGGCGCATGCTTCATTACGACTCACCTGCTTGCTTCTCCTATTCAATCGTTTCTTTCGAAGGCAGTGGATTTTTCTCTTGCGTTTCCGTTTTCTTCAATTTCAATTTATCGAACTTCTCAATCTCAGCCAAAGTGGGCTTGTCAGACATTGTTGCAGAGGGCGCGGAGCGAGCTGCAAGCGAGTGAGGTCTGGTCTGCGCTGTGGCCGCCGCCGAGTGCCCACAAGGCATGTTTAAAATCCTATTAAATTGCAATTGACAAAGTAGCACTTTAATATGATAACTAGAATTATAATTGACCACATTTTATCAGAGCATATCAGATCTATATGAATTCCACAGAATTTCAGGATGTCTCTATTAGTAACATCATACAGTGTAACCTGAGAAGATTGATCACCCCTTCAGTAGTACTTTGCATATAATTTAACAATCTCTAGTTTCTCTGTAAGAGGAAGTTAGTGTTCAGTAATGAATGTTTCAGAATCTTATTTTATTTGGAAGTGACCTAGCTATTCAATAAACTTCCATCGCTTAGTTTAGTGCAACCCTTGAAATTCAGGTTACCAATATCTAGAGCGACTGTTTTAAACAGATATTTCTAAAATGTAATTATTCTTAATAGTTTATCTAAAAGCTCTTGCCTCGTTTATACATATATTTTTAAAGTTTCTTCACTCGAGTTACTTTCCTTGCTGACAAACTTGTAACATATTACAGTATAACAATATTTAACTTATGATAAACCTAGGCACAATGAAAATATTATGCTTAATGTTAACGACTCTTAGACATATCTCTATTAGATTAGCAAACAAACGTTAATAGTAGATATTTAATATTGCATATTTCCCAGTTCACGTAAATTTGAAATTCATTTAGGTTAATTTCTCTTGTATTTAGGATGGTCTGATTTGTAAGCGCTTACTTTTCTTTAGGGCAATTAAATTAGAACTCATTTACAACTTCAGCAATATTATTAAAAAAAAAAAAAGACACACACTGAGACATATATAAATCCAGACAGACAGGCAGAGATTTCATAGTTTTCCGCTTGAGATTTAAAATGTCTTTTTGATTTTCCCCCTTTTGTTTTGAAGTTCTAATTTGTCCAAGGCTGAGGTCTCAGGCAAAGTGGTCTGTGTATTTCAAGGATATAGAAAGGGTTAACTTCAAACATTTCCCTAGGCAGGCTTTTTAACAAGCTAGTTGTTTTTAATTGCATATGCAAAAAGAACTGGTTTTGCAGTTTCCAAGAAAAAAATTTCATTTTAACCAGTTTTCTCCGGAGTCTAAAGAATATATATCATGGTCATCCTGTGTCAAAAAGTCATCTTTCCTTTCTGTAGTCATAGTTTCATAGCTAAAACATAGACAAAATAGTGCTCAAATTGATTCTGATATCAGGGGCAGATCAGCTGATAAAAATCTTGGATTGTCCCTCTGGTTGAGAAGGGAGGTCTTTGTCCTATCAGAAGATGGAAGGGTTAAGGGAATTTGCAGGAGTGGGGGAAGCTTGGTCCTTCTCCACCCTGAGAAACAGGAGTAGTTAGAAGGGAATTCTTTAGAATGTTAGGAGAGTTTTTTGATCCCACAGGCTTTTGAAAATAGGAGAAGGACCTGGACCAAAGGGAACCCCAGAATTCTTTCCTAGAGGTCATGTGGATATGAAAGGTCAAGTAGGGGTCATCTGGGAAATCTGATGGAGAGAGACAGAGGGGGACAGGAGAGAGGGAGGCAGCAGAAAGACATGTGGCATGAGCTCCTGAAACCCGGATTCCGACTGAGGGCCATGAAGGACTGGACGTAAGGAAACTCTGAGTCCTTGATCTGCTTTTGGCAAAAGCCAGTGTGCCATTCAGAGGCTGTGTTTTTTGGGTCCCCCAGTTTGTACTGGGCCCAGGCCTTTGGCAGGGTCAAAATTTCCTGGTTTCTGAGAATGTAGCGAAGGAGTGAGTCTGAGAGAGTCTCCTGAGACATATCAGAACCCATCCTTCGCCTATATGCCACAGAATGGAGGCACTGAGAGTCACCGACTGGCAAAAAGCCGGCTCTTTTTGCCTCAGTGACATCTCTGTGCAACTAATGGCACAAAAGTGGGCGACCGTCCCAACAGTTGCGTCCAACAGTGAGATGTGACCTCTGAGAACCATGCAACTAAGGCATCATGTGGCCCAAGCAGAGAAAGACAGAGATTCCTGGGAGCAACCAAGTGACTCACCATTCCAGGATTCCCTGAAACATGGAAGGCGCTCTTGGGATGGCTCAGAGGCAACACCTAGGCTCCTGTAAATCAATCCAGACAGAAAGGGAAAGAAGTGAAAGGACAAGGGAGAAGGCTGAGGAATCTGCCTTACAATCCTATTGGGGAGGCGGTGGCCAGGGGAAAATGGTCTGTTTTGCTTCAACCACTGACACGGTGTACAGAAGTTGTCTTGCTAGGGGCAGATGCCCTTGTGGCCTTATCTGTTCCATGTCCCCCTCATCCTCACACAGGAGTCTTCATGTGGCAGGCACCCTAATGTATTTTCAGTGCCTGACTCGTGCCCACACAATATTCTTTGGCCTAGTCCTCAGTTGGAAAGAAGTCGAAAGGTGAGACCCTCACCCATTCAGATGGCAGCTACTGGGGCGCAGTGAGCAGTGGGCCCTTTGGAACACAGCAGAGGGTAACCCTGGCCAGAGTTCCTCAGTTGCTTCCACAGCACTTGCCTGTTCGCAGAGAGTCCCTATGAAAGAGGAGAAGTGAAGAGGTGGGGGAAGAGACCCCAAGTTCCCTGTACAGGCCACCAAAAATGTCATGGTCCAGGCGTGGGTTGGAAAAGAATTTCCAGACATGAGCCAGAATGAGAGGGAAATAAAGTTTATTAGAGTGGGAAACGCTGTTAGAACAGCAGGCCAGCTCAAGGAAGAACTGACCTCGAACAAGGTCCTTAGTTCACTTTTATACCTAGGGTACAAGGAGTAGGGGTCTTGTGGGTCATTTGCTGATTGGATGAGGCACATATACTGGGTGGAGGAAGAGTAAGGTAAATACCGTTTCCCTATGAGGTAGTCAAGGCTATGGTTTTTCCAGTAGTCATGTATGGATGCAAGAGTTGGACTATAAAGAAAGCTGAGCGCCAAGGAATTGATGCTTTTGAACTGTGGTGTTGGAAAAGACTCTTGAGAGTCCCTTGGTCTGCAAGGAGATCCAACCAGTCAGGACTAAAAGAAATCAGTCCTGATTATTCATTGGAAGGACTGATGTTGAAGCTGAAACTCCAATACTTTGATGGTTGGATGGCATCACCAGCTCAATGGACATGAGTTCGGGTGGACTCCGGGAGTTGGTGATGGACAGGGAGGACTGGTGTGCTGCAGTCCATGAGGTCACAAAGAGTCGGACATGACTGAGCAACTGAACTGAACTGATGGGGTAGGAGGGGTGACAGGTTATACTGCTCAGGAGGATCTGAAATCCATTAATAGCTACAACATGGGGGAGCGAAAGATGATAAGGGTCTGGTTTTTCTGTTCCTGCATTCTAAGACCTTCCTTGGTTTTATCTACTCTTTAGTCTTTGGGTCACCTCAGTAATTTCTGTGTACCACGTTTAAATCTTCAGCATTATTCACATCTACTGGTGCATCAATTCTTTCCCTCTCTCCTTCCTTGCATATGTATTTCCAGGAAGTATAAAGGTTAAAAAAATTACCACCAACTCAATGACAGAAATGAAAACTCCCTTTAATTTTAATACATATCTGACTCAGCTAGAAATATAAAGAATTATAATTTTATTGATGTGGCCTAATTTTTTTATACTGTTTAAAACTAACAAATTACTATAATTTTAAATAATGTTAGGAAAGCATAATACATCCGTTCTTTCAACTTCCATGATAGGGAAGAACCCTACAACATCTTGATAGTGGAATCTCTGGTTATAGCATTTCTCCATCAAGACAGAGATGTCTATATAGCATGATGGTAACCAAACTATGTTTTAAGTAGAGTGATACAGCAACTGGCCCAAAGGAGAAGAGCCCAGTTCACTATTTTGCTTGCACTACCCCTGAATGCAGAGTGCTGCAATTGAAGAAGCAATGTTGTCTGAACTGAAACTAAAATGATAATGGCTCATAATAAACAGCAGAATCTGTGTGTGAAATTTAATTCAATATTAGCATTAATTAGCTCAAATAACTGTTAACTTTAAAAACCGGAAACAAAAAGGGTTTAAGTCTTTTCAAAACACATCCTTGCCATCACTTAAGAGGCAATACTGGAATCATATATCTCCTTATAGCTCTATTCCTACCAGGAATCTTCCAGTCTGCAGACTTTCAGGCAGATTTCCTGTAAGGATCCGAAGGGTTTCTCGACAGTTCAAATAGTCCTGTTTCTGTATTACAGGCTCACATTCCACTCCATGCATTAGAATACTAGGCTGAAACTGCATAGCACATTTGGAACTCGGAACCTCTTTTGCATTTGGAATGACGGTAAAAGAAATACAAAACCTTAAAACTCATAATTGGAAATCTGTAAGTTCTTTAAACTTTTTCATGCTTGTAGATACTGAATAAAGTGCCTTTGGAAAAATAGCTCCTAAGTTTCCAGCATTTGTAAGTAACCTCACTTTGGCTGTAAAATACGTACACCCTTCCTGGCTTCAGTCAGTGCTGAATGATTGTCCTCTGAAATATAAACACACACCATAAACTTGGAATTAGTTTAAGGTAATTAAGAACAACCAGGAAAAGAAAAGGAGCTATGTGCCATGAAATCTATGACTGTAAAAATTCACAGGTCAACAGATTGGAATTCCTTGTTCATAATACCTGCTGTACATTAAGGAAAGCCCTACCAACTGTATAACACTGTAATATTTGGGCAAATTAAAGTCTGTTATGTACAGAAAAGCATGAAAATCTTCAATAAAAATATAAATAATCTTAAAGGGCCATTATTACATGAAAAATGATTATTTCAAATATACACATAGTTTTCTGATATTGTTAATGTATAATTTTTGCCCAGATTATTGAAACATTCCATAAGCACCAATAATTTAAAATAGTATATTTTTGGTAGACACCTTTTAAAATTGACTTGTATACCGCTTGTATATTGAATATAATTTACCCCCTTTTTTTTGGTCCCCATGCAGCATGCAGAGTCTTCCCCAACCAGGGATCCAACCTGTGGCCCCAGCATTAAAAGTGCAGAGTCTTAACCACTAGACAGCGAGGGAAATCCATAATTTAACTTTTTAAGAAAATTTATTTATTTTGTTTATTTTTGGCTGGGCTGGGTCTTTGTTGCTGCACACGGTTTTCTCTAGTGGCAGAGATGGGGGCCCTACTCTCTAGCTGCGGTGCTCAGGCTTCTCTTGTTGCAGAGCAAAGGCTCTAGGGTATTCAGGCAGTGCAGGGACTTAGTTGCCCTGTGGCATATGGAATCTTCCCAGACCAGGGATCAAACCCGTGTCTCCTGCATTGGCAGGTGGATTCTGAACCACTGGTCCACCAGGGAAGTCCCTAAAATTTAACTTTTTAATGAACCAGTTTGAATGTCAAAATTGACAGACTGAGAGTTAAGCGGCATAATAAAAAACAAGGACACAATATCTCCACCTTTCCCTACCACCCGACTTCCTCTTCCTACCCCTGGCAAAACCCCGCTCCTCCTCTTCCTTGCTATGTATCAGGTTTTGTAGAACACAGATACAGATGTCTTTGATCCTCCTCCTCTGCCATTTGATCAACAATGCCATCTGAATGTCCCTTGAAATGTCTGGGACATTTCACCAATGACTTTTTCCTTCACCAATCACTCTATTATAGTTCAGGTTACTATCTCTTGGCTAGAGGGTAGGAAGAGTTTTCTAAAATAGTCCTCTTGTCTTTATGTAGTCTCATCATCCTGAAGTCCATTCTCCATTTTATAGCCAGAGTGATCCTTCTAAAAAAAGGACATCTGATGTAATCATTACTCTGTTTAAAATCCTTTAATGGCTTCCTATTGCTCTCAGAATAAAATCCAACTCCTTAATGCAGCCTCTTAGAGGCCCTTCATGATTCAATTCCTATTACCTGTTTGTTTGTTTTTTTTTTTGTCCATTTGATCTATTAGGTTGGTGCAAAAGTAATTGCAGTTTTGCATTGTTGAAATTTGGCATTTCATATTGGAATACATTCTTAAATAAATGTGCTTATGTTAGACATTATTTTAATGCACATTTCTCACTTTTTTTTTTTCTAATGACATTACTTACTGTTTATTTTATATTTATTTTAGACTAGGGAAATGATGTTGGGCAAAAGCAAATTTCAGCAATTTTCTTATTCAAATTCAAAACAGACCATAAAGCAGCAGAGATGGCTCGCAACACGAACAATGCATTTGGCCCAAGAACTGCTAACGAACATTCAGTGCACTGGTGGTTCAATAAGTTTTGCAAAGGAGACAAGAGTCTTGAAGATAAGGAGCGCCATGGCTGGTCATCAGAAGTTGACAACAGCAAACTGAGAGGATCATCGAAGCTGATCCTCTTACAACAACAGTTGCTGAAGAAAACTCAATGTTGACCATTCTATGGTTGTTTGGCATCTGAAGCAAATTGGAAAGGTGAAAAAGCCCAATAAGTGGGTGCCTCAAGTGCTGACCCAAATCAAGAAAATTGTTGAAGTGTCATTTTGCTTATTGTATACAAGAATGAACTATTTCTCAATCAGTTTGAGCAATGAAAAGTGGATTTTTATATGACAGCTGGTATGTCCAGCTCATTGGTTGGACCAAGAAGAAGCTCCAAAGCACTTCCCAAAGCCAATGTTGCACCAGAAAAGATTATGGTCACTGTTGGGTGCTCTGCTGCTGGTCTGTTCCACGACAGCTTTCTGAATCACAGAGAAACCATTACATCTGAGAAGTATGCTCAGCAAATTGATGAGGTGCACCAAAAACTTCAACACCTGCAGCTGGCATTGGTCAACAGAAAGGACCCAATTCTTCTCCATGACAATGCCTGACCACACGTCACACACCAATGCTTCAAAAGTTTTACAAATTGGGCTACGAAGTTTGGCCTAATCTTCCACATTCACCTGACCTCTGACCAACAGACTACCACTTCTTCAAGCATCTTGACAACTTTCTGTAGGGAAAATGCTTTCACAACAAGCAGAAGGCAAAAAAAAAACTTTCCAAGAGTTCATGGAATCCTGTAGCATGGATTTTTATGCTACAGGAATAAGCAAACTTAATTTCTTTTTGGCAAAAATCTGTTGATTATAATGGTTCCTATTTAGATTAATAAAGATGTATTTAAGTCTAGTTATAATTATTTAAACTTCATGGTCCAAAATTGCAATTATGTTTGCACTAACATAATAGTTGTGTCTGATAGATTAAAATCTCCCACTCAGACAGTGGGCTTGTCAATTTCTCTTTGTAATTCTGGTGGTTTTGCTTTCTATAACTGAACACTATGTTATTAGGTACATTCATCTTCTTGGTACTGATACTCTTAATTAGTACATTTGATTCAAAATACTTTTTTGTCTCATATTAATAATGCTTCATCAACTTTTTTTTTTACAGTATTTTGATAGCTTCTTTTTTCAAATCTCTTTTTATGTAATATTTCTGTGGTTTAGTTTTGTGTTTTTTCACTAATGTTATATGTCTGAATATTATTCCAAACAATCTGATAATCAGTCTTTTAATAAGTAACTTAAATCTGTTTAGTTATTGTGCTTGCTGATAATAGGATTTAATTCTACTATTCTATTTAATTTGGGGTTTTGTTTGACATGCTTTTTTCTTCTTTTCTGCCTTCTATAGAATGATCAGTTTTCCATATCAACTCTCCTCATCCCTTGCTACTCTTTTTTCTTTGCAGGTTTAGAAGCTCCAGATCAGTTTTTTATTAATATAAAATATCTTATAGACAAAGTATTCAGACACAATCATTTATATTACTCTTCCAAACATGACAAAGGACTTAGCATGTTTTAACTACCCATTGAAAACATTTCTTTCCTTCTTTTTCAATACTAAAGTATTATTGTTTGTTAAAGTATAGCTGATTCACAATATTGTGTTAGTTTCAGCAAAGTGATTCAGTTATACATCTGTATTTTTTCAGGTTATTTTCCATTATTGGTTTTTGTAAGATATTGAATATAGTTCCCTGTGTTATATAGCAAATTCTTGTTGCTTATCTATTTTATGTGTAGTAGTCTGTGTCTGTTAATACCATACTCCTAAAGTAGTTATTTTCAATTCTACCATCACAGTTTATTAATTTCTTCCCTCACTAGAATCTTCTGTATCGTATGCTTTCCCTCTGGGCTTAATTTTCTCATTGGGGGAAGTACATTCTTTAGTAGATCTTTTAGTTTAGGTCTGTGGGTGGAAAGCTCCCTAGTCTTTCATGATTGAAAATGTCTTTGTTCTGCCCTCTCCTGAAATGGTAGTTTATCTGGAAATAAAATTCTTGGTTGATAATGTTCCATTCAATACTTCTAAGATACTCAATTGTTTCCTTTTTTTTTTTTTTACTCAATTGTTTTCTTTCTTCTGTTGTTACTTTGGAGAACTCTATAGACTCTTTGAAGGTAATCAGTATTTTCCTCTTGGTAACTTAAGATTTTATCTTTATCCTTATTTCTCTGTAGTTTCACCATAATGTGACCCAAGTCGTCATTTACTTTTATTTATCTTGCTCAGTACACATGGTGTTTTGATGTTTTGATTAGAAAAGCTTCAGTCATTTCTTCATTTTTAAAGTATAACTTGTCCACTCTTCCCTTCAGTTTTTAGTATTTCCTTCTGGAATTCTTAAGAGACATATATGGAAGCCATTCAATATAATCCCTTGATACCATTTTTTTTCCCCCACATTTTTAAATACCTTTATTTTCCTATATTATGTTCTGGGTGAATTCTTCTCTACTATGTTCTGGATGAATTACTTCTTCTCTTCAACTTTGGCCAGCTCCAGGGTTAACCTGTCCATTGATTTTTAAAAAAATCTCAATGACCATATACTTATTTTCAAGATTTCTATTGTCTTTTTCCCCCATATTTACTTCATTTACCTGTTCTTCATGCAACTTGTATCTGTTTCCTAATTTCTTTTCCTTTTAAAATGAATGCTGGGCCTTCAATTATCACTTTGATAATGCGAAACATTAATTAAAAAAAAATCTTTGTCACATAATATCATAGTGTAATTTTATTTGGAGTAAATTCATATTCTGAGTGTTCATTTTGTTGGCCATCTTTCATAGTATGAGACTTCTGTATATCTTTGGAATTTGGTGGTCAGGCTCATTTTGAGTGAAGTTTTTATTTGCTTTTTTCTGTCTTATTTTAATTTAGTATGCTCCCCCCTCCCCTGCCCTCTTTGTGCTCATCTCTTCAGGCTCAATGATTTTTGCTTCCAGATGCCTTCCTGAACTTTTG